GGGGGGGGGGGGGGGGGTGTAAAAATGGCTTAAAAGCTTTTGGAAATAAGATGGTCGAAGTTTGATGAAGAATAACTATCCAAACGAAAGGCTCACAAAATTGTCCAATTAATTAATAAATGTAGAAACCTAGTGATAAATTTCCATTGAAATATGCGTTTCACCTAACAGCACTGCACATTTAATCATATAATTAATTAAAAAAAATTATAATACTAAAACAAGCTATATTAAAAAAAAATCATAAAACCCATAATTTCATATTTAATTTTCAGTTTTAGTATATGAAGAGTTTTCATTTTTGGGTAAAAAATAACCAAATAAATGGGATAAAAAATGATACACATGAAATAACTTCTTATTACAACAAAGATCTCATGAATTTCTTTGGGCTATAAATTCTAGCATTCTCTCACCTTTTTTCCAACACTTATCTTGAATTACACTAGTTCATCACACAATTTTGCATCCATGGCTAACTCATTTCTGTCCTTTCCAATTCTTGGCTCCTTTCTTCTCTTCTTGTTTGCCATTTCAGGTATATTTCCTCATAATTTCAATTTTCTTGGGTGCCCTCACAGTAATTTTTTTTCGTCAAAAAAGCTTAAACTGTTAGAAAATGCTACAAGTCTTCGAGATTATTTAATCGAATCATTTCTTGTTACGTCAGGTGGAAGTTTGAGGCCTGCAAATGGACAAGCATCTGGACAGGTAAGTTAGAGGAAGAATATAACAGCAAAAGCAAAATCTTGTAAAAAAATGAAACAATTTCTTGAAACAATTGGGAAATTTTTGTATGAATTTACAGGGACTTTGGTGCATTGCTCGGCCGTCCACATCGGATCAGGCACTGACAGATAACATAAACTATGCATGTGATATAGTAAACTGTAGCTTGATTCAGCAAGGAGGGTCCTGCTTTTACCCTACTAGTCTGATGAACCATGCCTCAGTTGTAATGAATCTTTACTACCAGAAAGTGGGAAGACACTATTGGAACTGTGATTTCAAGAATTCTGGTCTCACTGTTGTCACTGATCCAAGTAATGTATTAGATCCACTATTCCCCCCTTTTATTCGTCCCCGTCCCACCTCTTTGGTCACTTGGAAGCTCCCAAATAGCCACTTGGGACTTCTTGATGCGCTCTTAAGATCGTAAATGAGAAGGGGAAGGAGGGTGGATTTTTCTTCGGACAAGGTTAAAATTGATTCAGTGCAAAAGTATGACTTTCAAACAAAAAACTATTAAAAAGGGGACACACCTCTGTCAGGTGGGGGATTAAAATCAGATTTTTGGTAGATATTGGTAAAAGTTGATGAAATGTGTAGTTGAAAAGTTGTGTGACCCATAAAATATGTGGTTGAAATGAATTGTTGACTTTTACTTGGATTAAAATCTAGATTTTAATTGGTACCAGGGGTGAATGGATTCTAACGGTAGTTTCATATTCTGCAGGCTATGGTGACTGCAAATATCAATATGCTAATTAGAAGGGTTACATTATGTTTTTTCAACTGCACCTATTTTCCTCGATGTCATGAAGGCAAACACGGATCATTTAGCATTCTGAATAAATTTGGAGCCTGAATAAGTAGTTGTAAAGATCCTATTATTTCATGGATTGTAAAATTGTATTTTAAGGTACTTTTTCTTTTTCTTACTGTTAATTTCTCTATCTTATGCTTTTTCGCTAGTTCTTGAAATAGGATTTGTATTTTCTACCCTCCGTTCTCGCACACTTTAGGGGATTTGGAGGGTGAAAATGGTGAAGGAAAATGGATTCATTTTTGTAAAAAAATCAACCTTTTACTGGATTGAGCAATGGACACTGTCCATATGCAAAAAAAAAAAAAAAAGGAACCAATTGACGATAATCTCTTCATAATTTTATCCAATAGAACCCAACAAAAAACATTTTTCTTTTTTTTTTTTTCAACAAAAAAGTGATTAGCAGAAAATCATTTTTGGTCCCAAATATTAAATGCAGTCTTGTTAGGTTGAAGATAGATCAAGAAAGTTGTTAAAGAAAATTTGGTACATCTATTGGTCTATAGTGAGGACTGACTGAGGACGACTCAAAAAGCTAAAAGGACATTCTAATGGAAGATAATAAATCTGCTGGGGCCGTGTGGCTAAGATTTTAAAATTAACATAAACCATTTTTCCCTAAAACTTGAAAATGTGCTCGCTTGGCAAGAAAAAAGGATTTGTAGGATAGAAGGTTTAATGCAAATTTTCACCGAAACTAATGTAAGCACGGTGACAAGAAATCGAAGGAATAATGATAAAGGAGCCAAAGGGCATGCAGGATGAAAATTGCCGAAGGCGTAGCATAAGTAGGGGTGGATCCAGGAATTCGAGTCCGGTGGATCCAGGATGGATGGTCGCCCTGACTTGCTGGGTGCTGACTCAATCCCTAAGCATAAGAGTCCAACAAAGTCAAATGTTGCGTGGACAACATATGCAAACACTTGCAATTGTAAGGGCCTGGGGTAGTGCAACTATTTTACATTCTGCATAACTTGAATATGTAGGACTACCACAAAAGCAATATGGAGTAATGCTAAACGATTTTTCAATAGTGTTATTTCAGTCAGTCTTCCTTTAAAAATTTATAATTGTCGGATAAGCCAAATTCACTGTTCAGTTTCCATAACAAAACCAAAGAATACACACACAGATATAATACGTGTGTGTATATATATACACAGAGAGAGAGAGAGAGAGAGAGAGAGAGAGAGAGGCAGATGACAATATTTGTAAAGGAAGCTCTGCAACAAACCCTACGAGTGGCCAAATTCTTCTGCTTTTTTAGGGTTTGTTTGAGTTTTTTTATTTTTGGAAAAATAGATTTGTAATAGTGATTTTTTGGATAACGTATGGATAAAAATTTAGGAAATTTTTTTTACTTTATGTATAAACTATTTTTTATTGGAAAAATAAATGATTGAAAATAAATTTGAGGAAAAATAAATTTTTAAAAAATATGACTCAAACGCTTACTCAGTCGTGGGTATCGCAACCTTTGAAAAATTTTGATTTTCTAAACTATATCCTTTTATATGTTATAATACTTGAATGTAACAAGAAAGACAATTTTATGACATATAATTCTTTTCCAAAATATAATATTTGGCATAGTGTTTCTTGGTGATCAACTGGCTTTTCTTGACCATGACCAAACACATCTTCAAGTTTTTATATATATATAAAAAAAAGGCTTAACCTTGTTTGGTTTACTAAAGAATGGATGATAAATGCATTTTATACACTTATTTAGACCACAACACATGAATAATTATTGGTAAATTTATTGGAATATGACTTGATTCTACATAAACTATGTTTTACATGACAACATTGATGAATATGGTGGAATTTAGAAGAAACAAGTGAAAATGACTAAAATAAAAGAAAATCAAAATTCAAGGACCAAATTGTAAATAACCACAAGATGATCCAGACGAAAAAACGAAGATGTGAAGGAGTCGAAGACCAAGTGAGCGAAAGAATGAAGTATTGGAAGAAGAAGTGAGAAAATAGATCAAGAAACGAGAAAATGGAGTTTGGGGACTAAAAAGCAAAAAATTGGACTTTCTTCTATACTATGTGATCGCATGGTAGCCAATAGGGAAATCTAGGGCTGAAGTTTGTTGAACTATACTATAGCATGCGATTGTACTATGCTATAGCATAGTACATTTTCAGAAGAAAATTTCTCGTTTTCTTGTATACCCCAACTCTTATGGAAACAATTTTTGGAACGTCTTTTAAAGATCTAGAGCCATCCAAAAGTAATTCACCACGCATTACAACACACTGGAGAGGATAGAAGAAGATGGCAAAAAACATCAAGAGAAATTCTACGACATCAAGATTCATAATTTGTGAAATGACTACTCTATATTCTTGTTTTCTTCTAATATCATGTTAGGCTAGATTTCTTTGTGTTAAGAGAACGCTTAACCTTGTAATATGAATTTTTAATTTTTAGTTTTACATATTTAATATTGAAAACATGATTTTGAATTTTGAATGATTTACATGATTATCTTTTCTCTACAATTATTGTGCTCGGTAATTGTATGAATTTGATTGCTTATTTTATACATTCGAAAGAAGTAAAATAAGTTCGACAAAGTGTAAATCGTCATAGGGTCCAATAGGAAATAGAAATATACCGTTGTACTCTATGCGAATATTTAAGTATTCATAAAAAAAAATGTGCACTCTTGTATATTCGCATCCGCCAAAGAAATATAATCGAATCATATAAGAAAGTAAGTTTAGCATTACTCGAGGGAGATAGCTGAATAAAATAGAAATATTGATTCTTCAAAATTCAACCGTATTGATGATTATTACATGGGAATTCGGGATTCTCGTGCTCTTGTCATTTATTAAAACACATTAACTTGCATTTAGCATAATTTGCATTTAGTTTAGTTAATTCACTCATAATTGCATAAGTAGCATACTTTAGTTATAATTTTTCACAAACAAAGACCGTCACATTATTCTTGTTTCGATTAAGATTGCGATAATTAAAATTGAACTAAATCAATCTCTGTGAGACGATACTTGGACTCAAATTCACTTTATTACTTGTTAACGAATTGTACACTTGCGGTGATTTTTAATCAAAAAGATATTTTCGCGAATAATGGATTTTTTGTAGATTATAATAAAAATTGATCAAATATGTGATGATAAAGTTGATAAAAATTGTAAATCTCACCAAATATGTAATTGAAATCGATTGCTAACTTTGATTTTGATTTTCATCAATTTTTTTTATTAAACCAAACAAAAACATAATAAGAGAGACTTCTGAAACATTTTTTAGATTTTATTGAGTCCTATCTAATTCAAAATTCCAAACAAGTTTTAATGTTTACCGTGCTGCTTTCAAAATGCTTTATTTGGACACTACATCAATCTTCTTCGGATTAACTAAAACTCGTCAACTTTCATTTTATTTCATAAAAATATTGCACCATAACTAGTCGGGCAACGTCAATTGCAAGAAGCGGCTTGACATACCCGCAGTGTGTAATCGTATGTTTTTAAGATATATTTAGTACACAATACTCAAAATCAAAAGCAAAAACAAAAACAAAACAAAACAAAACAAAGAGAGGAATAAGACTTTTTCTTTCTTTGTCATGTCTTGTGTTTTTTCGGAAGTTACTTCCAAAAAAAGTAATAACTTTCTCCATTACAAATAATACAGATAGTTCACAATACAATAGTTATGGCGCAATACACCATGAGGATGTCAAACAGAGCCTAAATAACTGGACCAGCTCAGGCTATTACTAAAAAGAAATCTCCTTGAGATTTAGGTTAAACTATTGTTGATATATATACAAAAGCCAAAGCTGTCAGAATCATGGAATCAGAATCCTTGTGGCTCCACTCTGATTCCTGTGTAAAGCTTGCATTCAAGCTATTTCTCGTCTCGTGCTACCAGTGACAGTCCTGCTCGTATCAGCATCCTTCTCCATACCCTTGCCTCGGCCACATGTTATAGAACAAAATTTTGACTCTGTTTCATATGGGACTTGCTCTTGATACCTACATTCAAGTAAAACCTTAATCAACTGATAAAACCGAGATATCCACGTAGCAGGATCCTTTTCCATTTCTCCAAACAACATAAATGAATGATATGTTTGGTACAAAGGAAGGGATACTAGACAATATTTTTAGGAAAAAAAGAAGCTAAAATCTTGTTTATTAGTTTCTGGTCACTGTAATTTATTGCATGAATAGAAATATAGTTTAATGACGAGAGTCTCAATCAATAATTTTCTAGTCTACAAATGTACTTCTATATCAATTTAGATCGAGTTTCCTTTGAATCAATTCGAAGAAGTGTAGTTCCTTGTCAAAAGCACCAAGAAATACAACTATGAAGCAACCATTGAAAATTGCAGGAAAGCCTTAAAACCACTTTGTACAAAAGCAAACATTAGAAGCTAACCTGGTTCGACATGCTTGTTGCAGCAGTCCAGCTCTGTGGATGCACTATCACTGAATCGTCTCTGATGAAAGTTATCGTTCTCGATTCTTGCTCTTGATTAATTACAAGTGGAGGTGGGAGCTCCCTCATCACCCAAAGTACGAAGGCTGAGGGCACTGATGAACCTGGAAAAGGTAGCATTCGAACAAGTTAATTAAGAAAATCTCCATGATAGTCAAGGCAATGTATAACATGTAAGAGAATAATGTCACATGTGTGATCAGGCATTCTCTCTTCAAGGACATAAAATATCCCAATGACTTACCCTCTCTAAATGGGAAACATATTTCAGCATTTTGTTATAGATTAATTCTTATTAAAATGCAAAATACTTATCTTTTTCACTGGTCAAAAGATTCAAATTTATACCCAAAAAGATGTTATTCTAATCAAGACTTTCAGATATCTATCTTTTTCATCTTCATATCCCATCATCAATAATACAATATTGTTCTTTCCTTGAAT